CAGCACGCCAAGGTGACTACGAAGGACAGTGACATCCTGGCTTTCTGCAATAGTGTGGCAGGCAGGACCAGGGCAGGGATCATCGTCCTGAGCACTGGTGAGGCTGTGCTTTAAATACTGGGTTTGGTTTCGGGCCCCTCACGACAAGACAGACATTGAAGTGCTGGAGCGAGTCCAGAGAAGGGTAAAAAAGCTGCTGAAGGGTCTGGAGCACAAGTCCTGTGAACAGCAGCTAACGGAGCCAGGGGTGTTTAGCCAGGAGCAAAGGAGGCTTGGGGGGACCTCATTGCTCTCTACAATTACTTGAAAGGACTGGTAGCCGCATGCGTGTGAGACTCTTCTCCAAAGTAACAAGTAACAGAATGAGAGGAAATTTAGACTGGATATAAGAAAAAACTCTTCACCAAAAAGGTTGTCAAACATTGGAACAGGAACAGGCTGCCCAGGGAACTAGTTCATTCACCATTCCTGGAGGTATTTAAAAGGCATGGACGTGACACTGGTTTAGTGGTGAACCTGTCATTCTTAAGTTAACAGTTGGACTTTATCCCAAAGCTCTCTTCTAACCTAAAAGATTCTATCTTTCTATGCAGGTGAGTTTCTTTGAAAATAAAAACTAACTAGCTATCATGTTTTAATAAAATAAGAATGAAAGCAAACACTGAATTTAAGAACTGACAAAACACAAACACATTTGGCTTTCCCACCATAGATTCCACCCACATTAGATGTCAGCCACCATTTGTGCAAACAAATACCTCTCACAGGGTGTTCTGAAAAGTGGCTGGGAGCATGGTATGCACGTATGCCTGAACTGTTTACCGTCATTGCAGAATCTACTATGTCCTACTTTATATTTAGAACAAATTAGGGCAATATTTAGAACTATCACACACCTAGTTTTCCTTGAATGAATTCTCTTCCTTCATCTAGAGATTGTCTCTTGCTGAATCCTTAGAGTTTGAGAGATTTGTAAAGACTTGTAGGACTTTTAAGACCCTCAAATGTTTGGAGAAGGTGCAGAGAGAACCCCAGCTTCAGTGCAGGTCACCTCTCTCGTGCCTGTGTTCCAAGTGGGCGTACAACAACCCCAGGGATCACAAGCTCTCCTCAGTCTCCTCAGATTGGTCCTTTGGCAGACTGCAGGTGTGACAGTATTGCCATAAGGAATACAAGGGCAGAGGTACTCTTTGATTTTCTAAATTTACCTGCAAAGCCTGTGGACACTTAGAATTAGCCAGCAGCACTCTGCTTCACATCTGCTTCATGCTGGCTAACAAATTATGGGGGCACTTTCAAACCTCCCCTAAAGCATACTCCTTAGAATTGCACTGAGAAAAATCTAACTAAACATGCAGGTAAAAAAGTACTCTAAATGTCCCTCACAATATAAGATTGGAAAAGCACATAAATTGGAAAAGCGATGTAGAAAGGTTGGCCTAACTTGCACACCACAAAATACAGTTTTATTTGGACCTCTGAGGTGACACAGTTCAGTGTTCACTCTACTACAGAGCCTTCAGACTGCATCATGTAAACTGAGACAGTTTTGAGAAAGAATTGGTGATTTGAACAGTCTAGAACATTTATAAAAATGTCATTATAATCCCTGGGTTTAGTGATGGAGAATCTATTTTACTGCCACTTAAAATTTACGATTTCATAAAAACATTGGCATTTCAAGAATTATTTTTCTCTAACATTTTAAGCAATTTTGATCTTTCATTATTAGGGAAAATAGCAGTACACCTAATAGTTTGGTCCAAAACATATAGGCAACTCCTTTTTTTCCTCTCCAAAGTGCATTTCTTAAGACAGGCAGGAGGTCCTGTCATGGAGATATAGCTTAGAACTGTCTGCTACACTGATCTTAGTAGTGGCAATAAGTGTTGTAAATTAAGACATCTTTTCAGTTCCAGAAGCCTGGTATTCAAAGCAATAGTGAAGAAGGGTCTCTTACATAATGTGGAAAAAATATTGTGAGTTTCAGGAAAATTTGAATAACACAATAAGAGAGAATTGTTCATCCTATTCACAGAAAAAGGCAGAGGCCATCTGTTAAACTGGTGCTAGGTTGTCACTGAAGAGAGTTTCAATGTCTGTGAAGGCCCACACAAAATTCACTCTGGAAAATAGGTCTAATTCTGGCACAACTTAAGTTTCAGGTAAACACATTTGTAATCTCAGCTATGTCCATGTAACAGTGTTCTCATACGTTGTTTCCAGAGCTTCTAAAGAATGAACTCATCTGTCACAGTGCCAGCTCCTGACCATGGTCTTAGCACATCTCATCCCACCAAACACCATCTCAGCCCTTCACATCAATGCTGCCAGGTCCACGTTCCTTGCTCAGGGAGTCCCAGTCCCCCTTTGCAAAATCCAGTGGTTTAAGAGCAGAGGAGAAGTAGGAGGGTCTGGGGATATTATTTGATTATGTGACCAGGGCAGCTGAGGCTGGCAGCAGTTGGTTCTGGTTCCAGGTACAGCTGTTAATGTAATGATTTCCTGTGCTATGCACGGTCACTTCCTCCCAGCCCAGGACCCCCAGCACAGGCAGGGGGCAGACACACTCAGAAGCTGTCACATCCTCCCCCAGGTCAAGCAATTGCTCTTCTCCGTTATGAAAAACCAAGGCTGTTCTCCACATTGATTCCAGCTGCAGGCCACCACTAGGCCACATTGACAGAGCTACACTCCATATGTCATGACAAAGCACATACACTAATTAAATCAAGATTAACAAAGCACAGTATGGAACCTTTTTTTCCCCTGCAAAATCTTTGCAAGCTTTTTAAGTTAATTTATATAACAAATATCTAGCTTCATTCACTACCTTAGAAATCAGGACAGTCATGACATTGCCATTATTTACTGTTGTTATCAATGTTTTCTTTTACACTTAAAATGCAGAATTATTTAAGTGAAAGCTGTAAGTTTTGTAGGATTATTATGACAGAGAATCTAGAATTGTACAGCATGTTTTAAACTCCCATCTGAAGGGAGCAGAAGGCCCAATATGTAGACCAGACCCACTTCATGGCAAAGGCTGGTGCATCCCTGACACCCAGCTGTGAAGGGAAAGGTTCCTATCCTGGAAAGGCCCTCAACCATTATGGATTTTTCAGTTAGGCAGCAAACTGGCAATAAAAAGTCCAAGGGCAATCAAAGAGAGGACATCAGGGCTTTAGAATGATGGCTTAGGGAATCAGGAGTACAAGTGAGCTTCTCCTCTATTCTCCCAGTTGCAGGAAATGAGGAGGGAAGAGAGGGCAATCCAGCAGATCAATACTTGACTCTGACCCTGGTGTCACCAGCAGAATTTTGAGGGTTTTTGATCATGTTTACATGGCATCAGGACTGCGATGACAAATGGGGGTCACCTGTCTCAAAAGGAGAGAAGGATTTTTCTCAGGCATTATCAGGGCTCATGGAGAGAGCTTTAAACTGGCTCTGAAGGGGAAACCAGACTTGTAACAGATAAACCAGGCAGCAGCATTCCAGAGTCTTAGAGACATTGTGCTAGTGGGGTCCTTCATTCTGCTGTCTCCATGGAGGTAGGGGATAGAGAGCTATGCAGCAGCAGACAAGGGTTATTGATGTGCTAAAAGCCATGGAAGTGCCAAATTAGTTGTAATCAATAATCTTGCAGACCTTTTCCAACCTAAAAGATTCTATGCTTTTATAACCCTAAATGTATATGCATACAAAAAATACATTGTTTGTATATTACTTTGTATACTACGTTTCCTACACTGAATTGCCTTAAATAAACATTTTGTTACTACTTCACTTGTATTGATTGGTTCTATTTTCCTCAAGGTCGATTCTAAGAACAAAATCATGAGCAACATAAAGTTGGTGTAAGTTATTTCTACTCATCAGAAAGACTAAGGGGGTTAAGGTTTCAGCCCAGTTTTTTCACATAAGTACATGCAACTGTCTACTTTGACCTTTCCTTCCATTCTACACCATTTCGCTCCTTACTTATCAGACCATGGTTGTGGATATCAATATATGAAAATTCAGATTATTTTACTTACTCAAGTTAAATACTTGCTTCAGAACCAATTTGATAGCAATACTAATAATAATAAATAGTAGTAAATTTTCTGTTCCCAATTCACAACAGCAGATGACCATTCAGAAGAAGTAATAAAGGTTCACTGGTATAAGAATAATAACTCAAAAAAACTTAGAACAACATACATGAAGGTAAGCGAATAATATTCATTTGATTGAGTTTAAATTCATGGTCCCCAATACTTCCATATTTAGATTATAAATTATCTTTTTATAGGCCAGGAAGTAATTTCAATCAATCTTAGTTTTCTTTCTGACATTGGAGTAACTCCAAAACTATTTCTAAAAAGCACTAAAACCAAAAAATCATCATAGCACCACAAGAAAAAGGAACCTCCATTGATTTAAACCGCATCAGTCATTTAAAATTTGTCTCACTAAAAACTTCAGTGGGTTAATTTTATACACACAGGTCTTATTGCAGATCAGACATTCTTTAACCTGCAGCAGACAGCATGAAACTGGCATAAGGTCTGCATCATGTGCTCCAGTTAATTCAACAAAAACGCAATCATGCACCCACATTTGTTCCAGATCAAATATGCACTCATTGTGATCCAGGAGCACAAAAATCTGGTATTAATGGACATGAAACCATGGCCTTATATGACAGCACAGCTTTAGATACTTCACATATTTCACTGACAGGTTTATCAGTAGGCATGTTTTTTCCTTTAACTTATCCAAATATTAATAGGAGCTGTGATGTTGTTTTCCACATAAATCATTAAATTTATGTAAATGAAACACAAAATCAGAAAAAAACCCAAAATAATTCCCATTACAACAAAGTTGAGTCATCTGTGAAGGGCTGTAGGTGTGTGGTTGCAATCAATTTAAATAGCTGAAATAAATGTCCAAAATAATGGAAACAAAATCAAATCTATATATTGAAACTATCAAAAAATGAGAAATCTTACCTTTTTCACTAACACTTTCACTTTCAATCTCTACATCATCACAACTTGTATATTCTGGAGTGGATGCCAGTTCTTCTTCTGAGCTACTTAATGAAACCTGGCGCATTTTACCTCCTTTTTTCGTTTTATGGGGCTTTGGTGGTGGAGGTCTGACAGATTCAGACTGATCTGAGCTGAGGGAATCATTCCGTAACATGGTCTCCATCTTTTCACGTTTTGTTTTCCGGACAGCAGAACTGGGATCCAAATGGTGCTGTTTCCTTAAAGAATCAGAGCGCCTCATGTCTGGTCTTTCCAGGGGAATTGGACTCCTCCTAGGTGTAGGAGGGCTATGATTTGTGGTCCTCTGACGATTGGGACTTGGTCCCTGAGCCTCTCGAGTTCTTTCCATAGAGTATGAACGTTGATTTTCCATGGCAGCCCTGCGCTCAGACACTGATCTTTGTCTTGATGGCCGTTCCATCCTGAGCATGGACATCCGAGAATCTTCCAACTCTGTATTTGCCAGTGAGACATCGCTGTGTCTCCGTTCATGACGTGCTCGGGACACTTCAGCGTGGATACGCATTTGTTCCTCATACGGCTGTGGCTTGACTGGATAACGAGCCAAATTAGGATCACTTCGGTATCGTGCCTGGTATTCCTCTTCTCTCCTTTGCCTTTCATATTCTTCCCTGCTTTGTGCATCTTCTTCTTCTACCGGATACTCCTTGGAACGCCTGCAGCTCCTTCTGTTGGAATCCCTATAATCAGCCAGTTCAGGTTCTTCATATAACTGAGGCCCACGCTGTGACCGCCTATCTGAATAATCTGATGGTGACCTGGGCATCGCACTGTCTGATGTAGCATACTGTGAATATTCGTCTCTCTCGTCCCTCTGGTCGTATCTTCTGCTCTGTTCTCTTGATATTGAAGGGCTTCTTTTCCTAAATAATCATGGCAAGAAAGCAGAAAGAGAGTTCTGTCAATATTTTATGTAGCACAAATAGACAGTTAATGCTAGTTAAAAGATAAAATGACCAGCTGAAGGAAAATAATCCATCCATTGTGTTTCTTTGTGAATATGCTCTCACATTTTCTGTACTAAATTAAAGAAATCATGTCATGTTACAAATCTGCTTATGATGCATAGCTTGAATAAAAAACAGCTTTGAAAGACAAATACTAATATGACTTTATAAAATATATAATACAAATACTTGGGCTATTTTGTAGTCATGACTGCTTTACAAGTACCAAAATTCTATAATCCTTTGTAATCATTTTACAACAATATAACTTGATCATATACTTCTATTTCATAGAGCTTTATAATCACCATGAAAATGAGGGCTAGAAAGATCATTCAGTTAGTTTAATCTTTTAGCAGCTGCTATTGCTCAAAAACACACATTTCAGTTCCCACAAAACTATAATTTGTGCCAAGGGCAGAAAACAAAGATTCAATGGCAGCACTTGTTTAAATCAGATGAACTTAGAAGTCCTGAACTCAGAAAACAAACACTTTTTGTGTTGTGAAGGCAAAGAGTTTCAAAGTGCTGCCTGAGTTGAGAAAAGACTCCTTCCCATCTCTACAGCAGTATTAGTCCAAGCATTTGAGCAAGACAAATACCAGAACGAAGTTCCTGTGCAAATAAAGCATTGACTCTTTGATATCATTGACACCATTTAGCTATAGACAACTACTGAGGCTTCAGAGGAAGGTGGAAAAAGAATTAACAAATATTCTTTCCTGACTCTGACAAATGATAGATTGAGGAATGTAATTCATTTATATGTAATATTTTCATACAGGGTGTGTCTGGAACATATAATAAATGCTATGTTTTCTATTTGACACAACATTGTTTGCTACATGATTAGAAGTGATCAGTTGAATAGGAAAATAACAAACTGGATCTTCAAATTTTGCCGTTATCAATCCTTACAGGGTAATAAGCATGTAAAATACTACTTTCCAGACATGTCCTGCTTCATGCTTGGCTTTTCACCCTATAAGAAGGTACCTGCAGGAAACTGGAGCAAAGATGTCAGATAAAGAGACTGAGAGGTGGGCCTTCTCTGAGATAATGTAGATCAGCTCAAACTTTAAGTGATAAAAATACAAAGAAGAAACTATTTTTGTGTTGTTTGTCCTTTCTTTTTATATTTAATTCTACCTTTATAATTAAGATCCCTTTTAAAATGTTTTCTACACTCACAAAATGACTACTGATTTTGGAGGACAGCCTTGCAGGTAGCAACCAGGAGGTCCTGCATAGTGTTTAGAAGGACATAAAAAAAGGTGAGCAAATACAAAGTCCTGTTGTTGTCACAGTTGTCCAAGAAAGGAAACACTTCAACTCAGTGAAGGGGAGGAGAAAGAGGTTCTCCTGGTGCCCAGGAAAGTATAAAGGTCTATCTGATAGGAGAGAAAACATTCTTTTCACAGCCAGGAAGGAAATACAGTCTCTGCTCAGCAAGGGAAAACCACAACTGCCAGTGCAGAGTGTGCGTGGTATGTGGGGTGACTGGCAAACTGGCATCTTTTACTGTTTTAGGTACCATGCAGAATTATTAAACTGTGCTTGATTTGGACCCAGTATTTCCTTGCAAATAGTAAAGTACTTTAGCTTTGCAATGGCATCTACAAATGAGAAAACTAACACAATCTTGCAAAAATTAAACTTCATGTGAAGCATGACAAGTTCTATAAGCAATAGTTCAACAAGTTCTATAAGTTCTATCTGCTACTGAAGACTCAACTTGAATCGCTCTAATGTGACATGAACCGAGTTTCATAAGGCTAAAACCAGAATGGCCAATTAGAACAACAGAACTACCCAAATGCAGGCAGTTTGAAAAGACACAGAAGCTTCATCAAGGCAATAGAGATTAGATGCAGAAATGCTTTAAGGAAGATAGATATTTTTCACTTCAGATGATGAAAATTATGCCACATCCCAAAATAAGTTGCCCCAATAGCAAATTATCCAATCCCTGAAAATTTCTGTCATGGCTGCAGCAAAAGTGTGCATAACTTCCCCTTCCCAGTTGTGTCTCCCATATAGGAAAAATCTGCACTCATCAGATACCGGCATTCATGTGAATCTCGTTGCAAGATTGAGACAAATACGTGTACACATGAAATGTACACATACTGTACTGTGAATACTCACACTGTGTATACTCAGTCTATATAACCTATAGATATGTGTATTCAGAGCCACAGTTTCTCCATCAATTTGATCCTGCAAAGCATTAAAACACTCTAGTACATATGATTTATAGGATCAGCTCCATGATGAACGGTGTAACACAGAAAGCCATACAGATTCTAATTTGACAAATCTCATGTGTGCCTTGGAGCAGTCTGAGTGTACACATGCTTCAGTATTAAACATCTACAGCAATACAAACAACACAACAGTAAGAATGTTTAGTGGCAAATAGAAGATTATATAAACATACTCAAAATGTGTGTGTGCATATATACATATAAATAAATTAATATATCACTCCATGTCACAGTGTCCTTATATAGATGCAATCCTCTTCTGATGACATTATGACTATAATGTCATGGGAGGAAGGCTGAGGGGGATAAAAAAGACGGATTTCTGTATAAGTAAAAACATTACTGTGGACTTGTTGCTGAGGAAAATGTATTTCTATTAAGGAAACATATCATCAGATGAACTGGCACATGAGTTACTAAAAAATACACCTATTTTTTCTAGCATGAACTATGTTAATGAGAGGAGGATGTGTTGATTTAGCATTATATTTTTATACCACTTGCACAAACATTTTCTGAGCTTGTGTGCTACATTTACTACAGTCATTTTCCTTCCTCCTTAAGACATAAATATAGGAAACCATCTATGGCTGACAGTAATGTGAAGAGCAGCTGGATCCTCAATCTACTCCAACTTTTCATGAAGGAAAAAGCTTTGCACAGCTGTCCTGCGTGTGGCAACGACTAGAGCACAGGCAAGACAGAGGACCTACCTGAAAATATAGAGCTTTTCTTCAGAGAAAGCAGTCTAGAGAAAAAAATAATTAATTTAATTCTGGCCCATGTTGACTGACATTATCAAACCTCCTTTCTAATTAATTTCATTCCTTTTGAAGTCATCTAACTTCACTACTGAAGTTGTAGTCCTGTCCATCAGAAATTAATTATCTGTGCCTGTACACCTGATCAGTCAGAAACCTTCTGTCAGGAGAGGGCTCATCCTGCCCCACAGTCACCAGACCCTTAGTATCAAAGTCTGTCATTCTCTTTACTGGTCATCATAGCACAATTATCCTCCCTTTAATATTCAAAAACTTTTTAACTTTAAAAATACCTTAAAATGTACAGAGTTGTACAATGAATGCTATATGTTTTAAACTGGAGTTATGAAATCATAGTAAGAGGGAACTAGTATTGATGATAACTTACGGCCTGTCCCTACTATTAAAAATCTGCTGCTATTTTTAGATCACAAGCTAATTCTCACTCACCTTCATGAGCATCTGTCTAATCCATTTCTAACCATTAACTACCTTAAAGATACCTTAATAAAACCCTTTCATCAAGTACTTCCAGCTGGATATACCATGGAAAATGCCTACTCCTGCCTTTCTAGGTCTTCCCTGGAACTTTCAAAGCTAAGGGTGTGCTATGAACCCTCCAGCTGCCAGCTGAACTAAGCACTATATATCTCTAGTCAGAAGGATTACCATCTTTTCTGAAAAGGTTATCACACCTTTTCTGAAAAACCCTCCAGGCCAATGAGACTACTACTTGTTTGAAACAAACATAAAATAAAATCTCTCTTATGGTTAAAAAACTCTAAACATGAAAAAATATCTCTGTCAATCACATTATAGAAATTAGGTTTTTTTCAGTTACAGAATACAAAACCTAATTTCTTTTCCTACTTATTACTGTCTATTTATTTTTTATTGTAATTTATGAATACGTGACATTTGGTCTTTTAATACACAATTCAAAACCCTACACTGACGGAAACCTTCTTTTCAGTGCACTACAGGTATCATTAATATTATGGAAAAGCAAATAGCTTCACTGTAATCTGTACTCCTGCTCATAAAGTTAAATTATTCAACTCCCTCACATCACAATAGAATTAAGTACTTAAAATATAACATAGAAGAAGACAGCTATTCAGTTTTGATGGCTGTGATTTCTATAATGGAACTAAATATCTTGAAAGTCTGTGACATTCATTTGTATTCTTTCTTAAAGAGAAAACACTCTTCTGCTTTGATTTAGGTTTTAAGAAAATTGGCCCAAATGTACTGTAGAAAAAGAAATTTAAAAAATTAAGTATCCATCACATTTCAGAAGTCAGAGACATTAAAACACACTGTAATATGTAAAGTAATTGTATATCACTGTCAAAACTAGATGTCAGACACTCCTGCTAATAAACTTTTTCTCAGACTAAAAGGAGACACATTTGAACTGGAGAAAACTTCCATAAAAATATCATTCTAAAGTTGTGTTTGACTACCTGAATCAAGTTACATTTACTTGAAGAGTATTGTTTATCAGAAGCTTTGGGTCAATTAAAAAATGATAATTTGGGTCAATTAAATAATGGTCTCAGTGGGCCTGATATCAGCAACTTGGAAAGTGAATATTGGCCATCTACTTGTAAGACCTAATTATAATTTACTAGACAATTCTTTAAAATTTTTTCTCTCTTTCCTATAAATTATCAAAAAATAAAGTTGAATGGAAAATTAAAACTGAAAATATCTTGCCTGCACATACTGTAATTTTGCTTAACTCAAAATGTAATCCTTTCAATACATGAAAAAAAAAAATTCAGAGAAGCAAAAATTGACATTTTCCACCAGAACTTTGTCACAAAAGCCATGCAAGATACAGGGCTTCTTGTTAGAGACCTCATCAAATACAGTGAACAGTGCT